TCACTCTCTGCCTACCCTCATGGGTTGGACAGTCTGTTCGATGCACAGCTGAGCCACACCAGCCAGGCTAGATTGACATATGAGGTGACTGCGTTACTCGAAGAAACTGTTTCAGCGTAGCAGAGGCATGCTGCCAGGCTTCTGGGACTTGGCCTTGGGAGGCAGGTAGCCTCACTTGTTATAACCTAAAAGCCAAAGTAGTCATGAACTAGCCCAGACTGGAGACAGTGAATGGAGAGATTCCACCTCTTGATGCAGGAATGTGTGGATAAGACAGTAACTATAATTGTGCTATTTTGGAGCCAGCTACCTCAGCAACATTGTTGAGAATATATAAACCCAACTTCTTAAAAAAAGAATGATGTCCCATAAGAAAAGCCTCTTTCTTCTTGTCATTCATTTTTATGATCTAAATTACAGAACATAATTAAAATGCCTGGGGGAAAAGCCAAGTCTAACTTTCCAAAGTGGAGAACCATAAACAGACTCATGTTCTGATTAAATTTTAGTATATGTTTGAGTTAAAAAATGTATTTGTATTCTATCTCAAGAGCCTAGCATTTGGCCAATGGATTGTGTACCCACTTGTTAACACAAGTGTATTCTAAACCTGTATTAGCACCTCCTGAGAACTTGTTAGAAATGCAAAATACCAGGCCCTATCCCAGCCCTACTGAATTCCCAGGTATTTTTACAAGATGCCCAGGAGATTCATAGACATGCTAGTTTGAGAAGTGCTGCCGTAGGCCATACCCATATACCAGTATACACAGACTATCCTCAAAATTGTCATTTGGAGAAACCCAGAAAACATGCAGTACTCTTCTTCCAATTTTTGGAACAGTGAAAGATTGCACTTGACTTTGGTTTTAATTGTGAAAATAGCTAAAACTTGATGGCTCCTATAATACCCTTGACAAGTTAGAAACTGCATATGCAGAGAGGAAATGTTGTTTTTATCTGGAACATCAAGGATCATCACTATCTATGTGGGAAAATGTTTGATCTATAACAGATTTTTATGTGATTTGGGAAGCTAAGGAGAAAAGGCCCCAAAAATTGCAAACTCCCAAGTAGATAATAAGTACCTTATATACATTTAGCTATTTACATGTAAAAGCACATGGATTTTTTTTTTTTGCTATCATTATCAGTGAATTATTTATAATACATAGATACTCCTTGACTTACATTACGGTTACATTTGGATAAACCCATCACCAATTGAAAATATCCTAAGTCAAATGTGCACTTAATAAACCTAACCTCCCGAACACCATAGCTCAACCTTATCTACCTTAAATGTTGTCAGAACACAAACTAAAAACTGCTGGCTGCATAGTACACTGTAAAGTATCCGTTGTTTACCAACATGATCATGTGCCTGAGAGGGAGCCGTGGCTCACTGCTGCTGCCCACATCATGAGAGTATCATACAGCACACCGCCACCACTAGCCAGGAAAAGGTCCAAAATCTGAAAGTAGTTTCTACTGAATGTGTATTGGTTTTGCATCATGGATAGTCAAAAAATGCCAAGCTGAACCATTGTAACTTGGGGACCTACTGTATTATTGGGCAGAATAGCAACACTGTCTTGCAAGTTAATTTGCTATAATTGACTAATGTCTCTAGATAAAGTAAAACTTAAAAATAAAGATGCCCTTCTAAATTAAATAATAAATTAACTTTTGAAAACATACCATTTTCTTCCAAAAATATGATCAATCCATTCACAATTTCTTGCCTTTTCTTCGTCATTCATTTTTATGATCTAAATTACAGAACATAATTAAAATGCCTGTGAGAAAGTTCTTAACAATCAAGTAAGTTCAACATTAAAGATGTCTAAATTTTTCAGCCATTCCTTTGTCTTGTTAAGCATCTAGACATAAATGCTACCTAAAAAAATATATTTGAATATATAAATCCTTTATAAATAAAGATATGTCATTTAAGGGACAAATAGAAACTTGAGGTTGGTTTCCAAAAGGCCTCAGATCCAAGACTAAAGTAAAATGTAAACACCAGATTCAATCAGCTTTTAAAAAGACATTGTGTGGTTTTCATAGTCTGCAAAGAATTCAGGACCGGCCTGAAATCATACGAACTTCTTAGTACACAAAGGAATGGCAAATAACATTCCATTGTTCCAGCAATCTGTTAGCACCACAAATTAACAGAACAAGGAGAAACCAGTTTGGTTCTATTATGGCATCGTCCGAGTGTACACTGCGGTGACGAGGGCCTCAGTAACTGTCAGATAAACGTCGTCGCCAAAGAGCCTTTCACTCAGTGCGGATCACACGTCTGAATTCTCATTTAGCTTACTCACTTGCTCTGACTTATATTTGGCTAAAGTGTTCTGAACCTTATTGTGTACGTTCTTGATTCAAACTTTAATGGCTTTGCCAGGCACTGTGGCTCAGTGGTTAGGTGTCAGTCCAGGAACCAGGAGGTCATGGTTCAGTTCCTGGTCAGGGCGCACGCCTGGGTTGCAGTGATTCTTTCTCATCATTTATGTTTCTCTCCCTCCCTCTCTGAAGTCAATAAAAATATACTTAACACACACACCCCCCTAATGGTTTTCACAATCCTTAGGATAAGATTTCCCCAATCCTTAGAGGCTTATGAGAACCTTTATGATCAAGGCACTGCCTATCACTCTTAATCCCCTCTTCATTTACTCAGATCTAGTGATACAAAAGTCCTTGCGCTCACCAATGAGCTGGCAACTGCTGTTGCCTCTGGCTGAAACACCCCCTCCCCCCTTTCCTTTCTTCCAGTTTCTCCCATCAATTTCTTCCAGTGGGAGTGGATACCCCTTTATGCTCCCACAATATATACATGTCCCCATATCACCTCACTCCGCAAGTTCTCCTCCTCTGGAGGGCCAGGGATGTCTTCTCTCTGTGTTGTGTTCAGCACTGAGTGTGACACTCACTAAATAGCGCTGACTAGGCAAAGGAGTGAGTATTCCACTAAAGTGCCGAGAGTGGGTTTGTTATAGTGACTGCAAGTTCAATGGCGTAGGATAGAAGAAATCTATTTTCCTTTTATTCATTTAAAAGATTTTATGGAAAAAAAGTGGGCTAGCATAGGAGCATTTAAATATGGTCAGTAAGTAATGTAGTGGTTATTACCTGAAAAGAGGTCATTCCATTCCTGTTAATAAATATTCACAACAAAAAAGGAACTTTACGAATCTTATGATTGTGTACATGGGAGTCAAATTCAACATCTTCATTTTAGAGATGAAGAATTAAATGTTTAAAAAACTAAACTGGCCCTGATCCTGCCCACTGCTATTACCCCAGACCCCACTTAGAAACAAACGCTGTAGCCCGGAGTTGATCGAACATCCCCAAGAATGGCATCAGGAGTCCTTTATACTCTCACTTTTCCCACTTACTTTGAGCCTAATGACTCTTTACGGCTTATTCTCATTGCAGGTAGATAACAGTGGTAAAGAATTTGAGTTCTGACAGTTCCTACAATCCTAAATTTGCTGTGAAGATCAAATGAGATCATGCAAAGCAATCCACCATGTTCCCAGCAAACAGGTGGCAAATACCTGCTCTCATTACTGCTAACCTGATTGGCAGAATCCAGAACTGGAAAGAGAGATTGTTTATTTATTCTCCCCAGAGATTGTTGTAGGATGTCTTAAACAGTCACACACCGTTTCAGCTAGAAAATGAGCCCAAAATTTCGCTTAGGGCTAGTACAAATGTAATGATGCGAATTTCATCATCCCTGTATCTCCATGAGCTTTTCTCAATTTACTCAGAAATTAAAAAATATTTCTCCCAGAAAGGTCTGAGGACTCCAAATTTTAAAGGGGTTAATGAGGAAAAACAGTATTTGGGTTCTGGAAAACAAGGCAGTGTTGTCAGGAGAAAGGCCTGGCTACAGGGAGAATTCCAGGTATCACAATTGCACTTCTTATGTAACTCAAGAGTCTTGGGAATTAAAAAATTCTCCTTGAGAAATATGGGAGGTGGTGTGAGTGTGGAGATACTATATCCCTCAGTATATTTTACTTCATACAACAAACATTTTCATTGGAAATCATATTTCAATTTTTTATAAATGAAGTATTTTGATGCATTGTGGGACCTGTTTTTTGAAAGGAGATATGGGGAACAAATAATCTTAACTTAAACATTCTGTTAAAAATGTAGATCTTGCCCTAGCTGGTTTGGCTCAGTGAACAGATCCTTGGCCTGTGGATTGACTGTAAGATCCCAGGTTCGATTCTGGTCAAGGGCAGATGCCTGGGTTGTGGGCTCGGTCCCCAGTGGCAGGTTTGCAGGAGTCAGCCAGTCAGTGATTCTTTCATCACTGATGTTTCTTTCTCTCCCTTTCACTTCCCCTCTGAAATCAATAAAAAAAATTTTTTTAAATAGAACTTCCCATGCCCTCAGACAAATTTTAACCCCAAAGCCCATAACGTCCATATAAGAGGTAAATGGCAGAATTTTAGTTATGTTTTTTCTTCCTCTTCATTTTCTCACTTTGTCCCACTTCCTGTCTCACCAGCCTTTGAGCAAGGATGGACACTTGTCAGATATGCCAGCTGAGTCAGTATGATTTCTCGCTGCACAGGGCTGAGCCAGTATCTTAGTCAGCTCAGTCTTAACAAATACTATAGACTAGTGCCTTAAACTACAGCTATTCTGAGTTCTGGAGGCCAAAAGTTCAAGATCAAGGTACAGTATGATGGGCTTCTGATGAAGGCCACCTTCTCTCCATACCTCACACTGGAGGCAGGGTGCAGGGAGGGAGAAACGAGAACAAGCCAGCTCTCTGCTAAGGGCACTAAGGACCTCCTCTAAGGAAGTTACCTCTTCAGACACATCACATGGGGTAGGACTACAATATATTACCTTGGGAGACACAGTTCACTTCAATGCACCTAATCAACCACCCAAGAATATATGGATTTTCAATTTTGTTGCTTACAACCAATTATTATAAAGGCTGGTTCTTCAAAATAAAATGAATAGTCTATATTAGTTTATTTAAGTTTTCTACAGTTTAAAACATTTTTCAATATATAAACAAGCCAGGAAATCTTCACTTATAATAAGTGAACCAATGAACACTGTTCAGATAGTTCAAACACTGATTTATGACCAAATCAATTTCAACAGTAACTAATTTTTTTAAATATGGTTTAATCACGTAGCTTCTGGAAGATGAGTTAAGTGATGAAAAAATGGGCGACCATGAACACACCCTTTAATCTCATTTCCAAACTGCTGCTTCATTCTGTGGATGATGTCTTGGATGTCCTCCTTTGGTAAGTACATGGGTAACTGTCTAGATAGACGCACCGCTTCTCCCTGTGGAGAAAGAGCCATACATTTTTACTGCGATACACCTGGAAGCAGAAATATGCTGTGCCTGCCAAGAAGGAAGATAGATCTTGATTATATTCCTTTTTATTATTCATTTGTTCAACAGATATTTACTAAACACCAATTACATGCTAGTCATTTTTGTAGGTTATAGGAATACAGCAGAGAACAAGACAAATAAGATCCTGGCTCTTGTGAAATTTACATTCTAGTTCAAAGAAACAAAAAACAGAGAAAAGACAAAGAAAACTGCAGTAATATGTACAAATTAAACTGAGCAACATGATTAAGGTGACCAGATGTCCTGCTTTTGGCAGGACAGTCCTGATTTTTAACAATTTGTCCCGCAGTGTTTTAAAAAAGTCCAAAAGATTTAAAAGAATCTTTCCAAAAATCGGGACTTTTTTAAAATGCCTCGGGATGCGGGGCATCTTCCTTCCCGCCTTTTCTGGAACATCTATATCCCAAATTAAAAATCAGGACTGTCCCGCAGAAAGCGGGACGTCTGGTCACCTTAAACATGATAAAAATTGTGTGGTTAGGAAAAGCTTTCTTGAGGTGAGCTGACACTTAAGCTTCAATTCAAACAAGGAACCAGGATGCATGTATCATGGGTAAAGAAAAGCATTTAGGCAGAGGAACAGAAAGAATCAAGTGACTCGAGTAAGTGCAGCCTCATTACCAAAGGGGAGCGAGGAGCAAGAAAGGGAGGGAAGCCAGGGGCACATCATCCTTTAAGAGCAATTTGGGTTTTCACCAGAACACACAGGGCAATAACCAGAGGGTTGTAAGCAAGAGCCGGACAGTGCTTCTCTAAGTGGCACCTGGCTGCTGTGTGCACGGCCTGAGGCAATCACTGCAGTCCTACGGAGAGTCTGACCAGGTGACGGGAGTGGACACAGAGGGAGGTGTGAAAACTCCTGGCAGGAGCTGGAGGTGGTCAAGACCGCCTGATGAACTGGCTGTGAGGGATGCAGAGCTAAGGACCATGTCCCATTTCGGGTATGGAATGTCATTTTCTGAGACAGTGAAGACTGAGAGTGTGGGGATAGAATGGTATTAGTAAAGCTGGCTTCTTTTAAGATTTAAAAAAATTGTACTTCAAAGATCTTAAATCCTAACACCCTCTCTTGTTCTCCCACCAGCCGTGCTGCTCCTCCACGTTCGGACAAACCCTGCCAAGCACTGCTGGACAAGAACTGAACTCCTGGCTGGATCCAACGCCAAAGTCCGCTCTTATGAGCCCCAACGCCGCCTAAAAATCGTCCTCTTCTCTCATCAACCTTCTCACAGAGTGCCAGCAGCTCCAATTGTCTTATCTTTTCTCTATTCCCAGATCCCCAGCGCCTCTCCAGCCCCTTCACCCGCAGCAGACAACTCTCCCAGTCCTTTACCACATGAATCATACATGACTTCTCTCATGTTTACCTCAAATCATTTACATTCACTTTCCCTGCCCTCTTCTGCTCCCGGTTCAGAGAACGGTTTCTCCTTCTTCAAGTTCATATCATGCTGCATCTTCCTTCCTGCCTCTTCTGGAACATCTACTCTCCAACCTTTTGTCGTCAATGTTTTCTACCAAATTCAATGCAAACATGCTAACACCTCTTCTCTTCCTTTCACACATGGGGCGTTTCCACCCCTGACCAACGTCTTCCATCCCCGTCTTCCATTCTCTCTCTCTCTCTCTCTCTCTCTCTCTCTCTCTCTCTCTCTCTCTATATATATATATATATATATATATATATATATATATATTATTGAATTTTTAGAGAGGAAGGGAGAGAGAGAGAGAGAGGGAGCTAGAAACGTTGATGAGAGAGAAACATTGACCAGCTGCCTCTTGCACACCCCCTACCAGGGATGTGCTCGCAACCAAGGTACATGCCCTTGACCGGAATTGAACCTGGGACCTTTCAGTCCACAGACTGACGCTCTACCACTGAGCCAAACCGGTTTCAGCCATTGTGGCTCTCTTAAGGCTATCACTTCCATTCAGCAGCCACACCTAATAGTCTTCTAGCAACTATTACCCTACAAAGAATGTAATTCTAATATTTAAATTTCTTTCTTCCCTTGAACCCCCTCCCCTTGGTTTCCTTTTACTGTCCTATCTTTCTCTGTTTCACCTAATTCAACCTGACCTTAAATGAAGCATTCCTGTGGTGTGGTTCTGATAGTTCTCTTTTACCCTAGAATCTTCCTTTAAGAATCACACCCAATATTACCTTAATATAATGGTAGGTATAATAGCAGTAAATATATTTGTGTCTAATCCCAAACACTTTCTTCCATTATTTCTGAAATCTTACTTCTTCCCAAATGGTTCTTCCATACACAAATATGACCCACAATTCCTTCACGCACACGCCCCTTTTCCATCCCTCGAAACCGGCCGTATTGAATTGCCCTGTCCGGGCTGGGAAAGTCCACCAGACGGAGCTCCTGGAGGGCTCACAGAAAGCCACGAAGACCATCTTTAGGAAAGATAAAGTGGACTTCCCTGCTGAGGAAGCCTGACCCTCAGAATGCAAACCAGGATTTGTCTAAAACAAAAACAGCTCATTTTTTTAAAAGGGAGAAAATAAATTTTACTAAAGATAAGGTTCACTTTAAAAATAATACCAGTTAACCTTGAGTGATAAAGGCTCAAGTAGACAATTACTATTTTCCGCCCACCACTGTTAAATGTGGACATTTAAAAGCTTATAATCTTCCTCCACCCTCTCTTACAACGTACTTTTTATTGTTGCTAGTATTGTAGATGTCTCCCATTTCCCACCCTTTACCTCTATTACTTTTGAATTTATTTTTAGCCCTCTGCTGCATATCTCATTTGTGCTAGAAAATTATAATTTCCATTTACTTAATAATCTACCTCTTTCATTTTCTTTCTCCTTTTTTGCTCTTGAAAATCACATTGTAGTTCTTTTTACACAAGTATTTGGTATTAAGATGGAACAATTTTGAATCCCTTCTAAAAAAAAACAAACCAAAAAACAACACAACAAAAAGAACTTTCACTACAAAAGTCTCACGCATATGGCTCTTCCTCAATATGTACTCAAGGAATAATGTTATAGTAAGAATCCATCACATTATACCACAGCCAGCTATTTTAAAGGAGTTTTCTTTTTTAATAGTATCTCCCTCTTGAAAACAATAATAAACCTTATAGAAACTTTACTATTTTGAAACCATTTATTATTTTATTAAGGAATAGTTAAGTATCTTAAAACCTTAGCCAATCTACATAATTGAATAATACATACCTCTAAATAACTTATCACTTTGCGAGGTCTACATTCATAAACTTCTTTTGCATTTTTGTTGACAATAGCATTAAGAATTTCTTTTAAATCCATCACGCCATAGAATGGAAGACAGTTAGCCATTCCCTCTATTTCTAAGTAGTTTTCAGCAATGGAAACTCCTAAAAGAAAAAAACACCAAAAAATACCATATTTATCATTAGTTTAGTTGTGTTTGAATTATATTCCAGAAAATATCTATTAAAAACAAAACCACTGTTTGAGTATTTAGTGACCCTTCATAGAATGCACTATAGTCAGGACAAAGTTCTGTTCCTTAGTTGGGAGAACAAATAATAATTCCCATAGAATTTCACATTTCCAGTAAGTCACAGTGTTTGTAGAAACCACGTGAGCTTTGTATCATTTAATCCCAATGACTGATGTTCTGTTCCATGCATTTGTTTAGAAGATTTCTTTCTTTAGAGAGAAAATGGGAGTCCCATGATGTTTATTAAAACAAAAACTGCTCTAAGTGTTTTCACGACTGCTGCTGTTCAAGTTCAAGCCTATTGGTTTAATACCTAACTTAAAGGCATGGCTTATTCAATGATTATTAATACATAGCAATTTTCTTTTCCAGCTTTATTGAAATGTAACTGACGTAACATTATATAAGTTTAAGGTATACCAAGTACTCATTTGATATACATGTTGCAAAATGGTTACCACCATAGTGAGTAGCTTATGAATATAGTAGAGGCACAAGGCACGAAATCCGTGCAAGAGTAGGCCTTCCTTCCCCCGGCCACCAGCAGGCACCCGGGACCCGGGCTTCCCACGCAGCCCCAGCTTCGTCTGAAAGGACATCTGATCTAATTAGCATATTGTGCTTTTATTATTATAGATTATTATATATTAGTAATTTGAGGAAATGAAATGCTAATGTTTATTGAATATATCTTATTAGGATAATATGTAAAATTGACATGTTATGTATTATTTAAGCTATTCTAAATAATTTAATGATTAAAATAAAACTAAAACCCAGCTATATCATTGAATATAAAACTAGGTAAAATATTCATAATAGCATATATTCACTCCAAAGCATCAAATTTTGCATTGGAATGCATGTTATGATTTTGGAAAATAGCAGAATTGTTTTCTTTGGCTTTATCTGTGTGACAATATTCTTTTTTTTTTTTTAATATATTTTATTGATTTTATACAGAGAGGAAGGGAGAGAGATAGAGAGTTAGAAATATCGATGAGAGAGAGTCATCGATCAGCTGCCTCTTGCACACCCCCTACTGAAGATATGCCCCCAACCAAGGTACATGGCCTTGACCGAATCGAACCCGGGACCCTTCAGTCCCCAAGCCGACACTCTATCCACTGAGCCACACCGGGTCCCGGCATCTGTGTGACAATATTCTTAATATTGAAGTCCATAGAATGTTACTTTGAAGTAAAGAAAATGAGACAGTCCAAAGCTGGAAAGTGGTATAAATGAGCTATAAATGGATGGACAAAAAAAAAAAAAAAAAAAAGAGTGATGTAGCTTGAAGAGCTTCAGAATCTGACATGGCGATGATCCTATCCCTAGCCTGTTCTCACTTGGACCAGTTGTGTGATGTGACGGCAGGTGCATTAGTGGCACACTGAACAGAGCAGGCACCCTACTGCTCTGCCTGGGAAGCTACTGACGACGAGAATATGAACAAGTAAGATCAGCCAGTAGGTGATCCAATACAGACTCAGTGAATGGAGACAAAATGAGAGTTTGAGCAACCAGGGGAACTTAAGTAGGACTTGAGACAGGAGTTAGACAGGCAAAAAGGAGATAGCAGAATATTCTAGTTCACATCTTACATATACACAGACATGGAAATTCACAAAAATATCAGTCAAGAGATTTGTTACTAACGTGAATTGATTGAAAAGCCTAATGCCGACTATATTTGCCCTGAAAAACTGTACACATTTCAAAGAATTACTTGTGGACATGGGTAAAGAGCATTTGGCAACAGATGAGGAAATCGAGCATTATTCTGTGCTTGTAAAATTCAGATAGAAAAAACTAAGATATCTGGAACCATGTCACTATAAACTTTCAAGACATTTCTATAAAATTCTGTGAAATGCTTCCCAATTTTCAAAGAAAATACTTCAAATTAATAAGTGGTTTGACAAGTTTTCACTTCCTAAAATATGGAATTCTTATTGGTGCAGGAACAAAAAACTATGCCATTGATAAGCAAAGTTTTTAGGGTCACATTCAGAATCTTTTCCCTCAGAGTCAGAAGTATTCTTCCTATCTTTCATTGCCTGTATCCAATGATGTTTTGTAAAAACTGGCAAATTGTTGATCGAAATTAAGTCCAATACAACAAAACTCTCACTAAAAGAAAAAGAAATGGGCTTTAAGAAACACCTGGCATAAAAATTAATGAAGAAAAATAACCAAAAATTTAAGAAAGAAAATGTGAAGGTTTTTAATTTGATCTGTTATTGACAAGATATGCTCATGATAATCTGTTAACTCCAAACTAATCAAGTCAGTTTGCAGATGACCGTCTTAGTGATTTTTACACCTTAGGTACCATGCAAAAAGCACTGGCATTCAGTCAGACTTAAAAAAACACTATCTTCCAGCTGAGAGCTGACAGCATCTGTCAGAAACTCACTGATAGCTCAAAAATAAACATGCTCTTGGAATACAGCAGTTACTCTAAATTTGTTTTTAAAAAATTGCTGTGATGACATCTTTCAAGAAAAAAATGGCACCAGCCACCAACACCAAAGAGGTAATTAGTAAAGTAGAATTAAGAAAAAATGTCTTGCTACACACACACACACACACACACACACACACCTTGTTTCACACTGCAAATCAATTAAAAATGTGCCAGGGTCCTGAAGAAGATTTCTAGAAGGGTTAAAAGAAATGACTGTCAGTTCAGGCCAGAGAGGAGTGCAAAAGGATGGGAAGAAAGGAGAGTATCTGAACACCTAGCATTCCACTGCTGCATGCTATGCTGACCGTATCTGTAAGTGCTTTGGCTAGCTGCTCACTACTTCATGATCTAAGTATCTCAATTTTAACTGGAAAGCAATAGAACAAATTCATTAAGACCAGGCTCTAAAAGGTAGATTACATGGGTTCAAATCCTGGTTCTACCTCTGTGAACCTTTAAGCAAACTTAACTTCTCTATGCTTTGATTTTACCACCTATAAAACGGGGCCAGCAATAGAGCTTCATAGGGCTATTAGAATAATAAATTAATACATTTAATATTAAGAATATTCAATAATTACTAGTTGATATTGATGAAGAAATATCTAGGCTAACTCACTTTTCCATAAACAATGTTTAAATGGCAGAGTTGAAATTTAGACACTCTTTACTCCAAATCTACATCCAAGACAAGGCAGTGAGGAGGTAAGAAGTTTAGGTAGGTATCCTTAAAACTGAAAAAGCCAAGTAAAATTAAAGTTTAGAACACCAAAGTATTTTCAGTTTATACCCAATTTCATGGTTTTGTACATTGTTTTGTACACGTATTTTCTTTTGAGATCTCAATAAAACATTCCTTTAAAAATCGTCAACACTGTTTTGGTTGAACTTTGTTTTTCTACACTTTGGTCACAAGTTTAGGAGTGGGTGGAGGAAGGAACAGTATCATCACTCTTGGTGGTGCCTTTGTGACCGCTGGTGCCAGGACAGAAGGCGGTGAAGCCGGTGTAGGAAGCTAGGACAGAAGGCGGTGAAGCCAGAAACTATGAAAGGACGGAGAAAGGGCCAGCCAGGAAAAACTGAAGTCTCCTAACCAGAGGAGCCTTTTTTCTCCCCACTCAGTGAATTTCCACACCAACAAACAGTGCTATCACAGTCTTTTTAGCAAAGCCAGGGATCAAATCATCTGCTCTAATAGTAAGAGGGCTGGTGTTACACATGTAAATGCAAAGCAACAGCATGATTTAAGAAGAACAGGCCCGTTTTTGTAATGCTGCTCCAGGAGCTACAGATTTACCTCTGCTTTATCATCTAAACAAGCATTTAATAACTAGTTAGAGCAGGCATTTGAATATTGTGACAAAGAATGGCAAAAACTGAAACTACTTGACTAGTTATGGAAATGCAAACTCAAGCCAACAGAATGAAAGAGATACCAAACTTGCTTATTTCAGACTGATGTGACATGTCTGAAATATGACTGTTTTTACGTGGCTAATGTACTTTTAGTGAGACAAAAATACACCCATGATACCTCTAAATTATGAAACCCAAATGTGTCTCCTGGAACAAGATTTATTTTTCCAAGTCAGGAAATATTAAACCACATCATACCTGGTATCAATTTTATCTTGAAACCATTTGCTGTAAGACGAGGATCGGACAGGTAAGTTGATCCACTGTAGCTTTGGTCACCTGCTGTCATTTTATATAAAATCTCTAAATAATGAGATCCATTAAAAAGACTGAAAAAGAAATAACTGTCCTTTAACTTATTAAATATGTAAAATAAAATTAAAAATTTTATGGTAAATAGTTAATCTAAGGGCCTTTTAAAAAGTGTTATTAGTAACCAAAATACAAAGGTATCAGTAACCCTGTAAGGAAGTTTATTTTTTTACATTTCTGTTAATATTTTATAGAAGACCTACCACATACAACATATAGGAGGAATAATATATACAAAAGGCAGTTTCTATTTTCTACGATGTTATAAATAAAATGTAAAATAAACAAGTGTGCTCCCTCAATATAATACAAATGAAAACTATACCTATAAATGCATTTATACCTTTAGACAGACACATAATATATTGCCAACCTATTCAAGTGGTACAGCCTCCATAATTTCCAGTTGTTAGTCAATAGTAAAAGGATAAGCATATATATCTTCTTCCAGGAGCTTATAATGCAGTAATTCGGAGCCTGGGAGAGCTTCCTTCAGGTATGGCATGTTTGCCAACAGTGGCGTACGGATGGCAAGGGCTGTGAGCAAAATTGTGAGGTAGCCGGAGATCTGCTAGGGCACAAGCTCGCCTTTCACATGGGTTACAGGCTCACAGTGCTCAAACATGTGCCTACAACAAAGTGTCTGCTGGGCGGGCATGACAGGTACGTTTCCCATTCAGCCACTGAGTGTGTGAGCGCCCAGCAGGTGACGGACACGGTCTTAGGGGTGCAGGGCTCTGTTGTTTGTGTACAAGGTTTTAAGCGGCTGTTTCTTCATTACAACCTGGACCGCAGAGAAAGCTAGTGAAGACATGATGTTTTTGCCTATCATCTCTGAAAGGTAAAGGACCCCATGGCCGTGACAGCAGATGCAGAGTGCAAACTAGCTACACCCAGAAAGTCAGTCTGAGCCAGTGGTGGAGATGATGCGGCACAGCAGCAAATGGTGCAGGCTCTACAGTTCCTGTCTGGATCCAACCATGCATTAGCCACGTGAGCCTAGGTAAGTGACTTACCAGTTCTATGGCTCAGCCTCTCCACCTATAAATACGGATAATGACAGGCCCTCTCTCTCATCAGGTATGAAGATCATGCAAGCAAAGGGCTTAGAAAAGCTCTTCCATACGTAAGTGCTCAATAAGTATTAGCCGTGGTTGAGCTCCTGCTTTGTTTACAGCTCTCTAAATTGCTCCCTTCAGAGACGCTACACAACCCTCAGGAGGATTCCAGTGAGAAAACTGAGCCAATCCAAAATTACCCTGTCCATAGCTCAGTTCTGAAAAACTTACATTACTAACTGTAAAGGGGACATCACATTTCAGAAAACTCCAGATACACGTAAAGGTGGCAAAATCTTGAAAATTGTTAATAAAGGTATTCATTGTACAATTCTATTTCGGTATATTCTTTAAATGTTTAACAGCACACAACAAAGAAGAATCATGGCAACCTCACTTCAAAATTACCCTAGGTAAGTCACTAATGTACAAGAGGAGAATTAAGCTTCATATTTATTAATTGCAGAACTACGTAGAATATTTTAAAATTATTTACTTAAAAGCAATTACTTCCACTAGAGATAAGAAATAAAGTTTTTAAAAGATTTCTTTAAATAAACACCACTTTTCCCTATTAGGAAACACTTTCAACTTTTTACCTCCAATTTCTAATCTAGTATGGATTAATAAATGTTTTTAGAGTAAAAAATATTATATTACTTCACCATACCTCTCTGTTAATATAATTGGTTTTTCCAACGGTTGTGCAGGAAGTTTATGATTCTCAAGAAGTCTTTTAAATAGCAGGGCTTCTTCCACTCTGTATGGATTTAACAACATTACCTCTGTTTTGGATGTAATTAGCCACGCATCAGGAAATTTGAGATTGTGGATTAAGCAAAGTTCGTCCTTTTCTTCTAGTTCAAATTTCTTATGTTTCTCTACATTTTTTTTAAAGTTTTCCATAGAAAAGTGAATTTGAACTGTTTTAATGGTTTCACTCTTTTTTTTTTCAATCTGGGACTGGAAAAGCTCATCAAGTTTTGGCTGATTAGATAATGACGTTTTCAATTTGTGCTTCTGCGCCAAGCTCCATGAGCTTGTGGGCTTCATTTTTTTTCTGCCATCTTGTAGTGAGGTTTGTGGCTCCTGTTCAATGGCTCTCTTGATTTGCCTATTGTATCGTTCCAAATCTTTAGTAGCCCTCTCTTCATATCTATGAATAGATAAGGAGAACTAATGAGTTTATAATCAGAAATACTTTAACCATCTGAAATAAATTTTATAAAAAAACGAGGGGCCCGATGCATGGAATTTGTGCACATTGGAAGGAAATGAGAACAAATGTTTTAATATCACTAGTGGTCCTTTATAATAGAAATGCCAACCAAATTCACAATCGACAATGACAGATCGAAACACGTGTATGTGATTGGCGCAAGAGCTTTACATGTATCACGCATGCTCGAATCAACGTAGCCTTTTTTACAGAGAGGAGGGGAGAGAGTTAGAGAGTTAGAGACATCAATGAGAGAGAAACATCGATCAGCTGCCCACTGGGGATGTGCCTGCAACCAAGGTACATGCCCTTGACCGGAAGCTAGGACCCTTCAGTCTGCAGGCTGATGCTCTATCCACTAAGCCAAACCTGTCAGGGCTGATACTACTATTTTCTATCAATACACATAATGAAAAGGGAATACAATTTGACTAATGATTAATAATTATTTAAGCAACCTTGCTAATTTATTTTTTAATTCAGTTTTAAAATTGAGTCTAGAAAATGTTATCTCTTGTTTTAAGAAATGTAACAGACAGACTGAATTCCATTGGAGATAATATGCATAAAACATTTTTAAGGAGAAATATGAACAGATCTGTGTCAGAAAATAAAAATGCTGTTAGTGGGAGAGCTATATTAAATGTTAAAGTGAAATTAAGAGACAAGAGACCACAGCATGTTGTTTAGTTGGCACTTAGCACTTGTTTGTTAAATAAAGAATGTTATCTGGAGGAGAATGCAAAAAACCCTTGTTTCTCTGTAAACTGGGCAAAAAATGCCTCTTTTGGTGAGTCCCCACGTCATATTCATAACTTTTTACATTATTTTCTCTCATTTCTACTTAGAACCCGAACTTCTGGATTAGCTATATAAAACACATGATTAATTTATTTTCAATATTACTACAATTAAGTATTTTTAGCTCCTGGACATCCCAATTCAAGATTTCCTGAATGGTGGAAAATAAGTTCAAGATGGTCACCATTTGTAATTAATTATAAAGCGCAAATTTTCAAATATGGTACTAATCTTTTTCTTTGCTCAAGAAATCGACTTCATGAGTTTCTTGGGAAATATAAAAAGTTATGTCCAAAGGAACATTAAGTGAAGATTAAGAGGATCCAAGATGGCTGCGCCCAGGTGAACACCTAGCCGCAGCCGCACACAACAATTTCAATAAAATACAACTAAAATATAAACCGGACATTGCCCAGAACTACAGGAAGGTTGGCTGACTGGAAATTCTACAGCGAGAAGCAAGGAGAAAACCAGAAGGAGGCGCAGAGGAGCTGGAAAAGCCCAAGGTACAGAGACGCAGTGCGGAGACGGAGCCGGAGAGGAGGGAGGCCGAGTGCCTGGCGGGCGTTCCCTAGCGGAAAGGAGATAAAACTCCGACTGTGCTGGGCCCCCGACTGCTCTGAACCCCGGTTCTAGGCCAGACCCCGGGGACTCAGGCTCAGCCATAGGGAGCCGGGCTGTAAGGCGGAACCCCAGGGAGAGGCGAAAGGAGGTCCCGGAGGCGTGCACACTGCGCACAGAGAAGGGACGGTCGGCTGTGCTGCGGGATTGCCCTGACGGGAAGGAGACTGGGGCCCCAGACTGCTCTGAACGCCACCTCCAACTCCACTTCCAACTGAACTGAACCCCAATACCAGGCTCATTGGGGGAGAGCATAGACTGTTTGGCAGCAGGCGAAAATCGAGGGCACCTTTCTCTCAGAGGCGCCGGCAGTGAGCACTGAAGGACCCGAATAGGGCGGGGCTGACGGAAGCCAAAGCTGCAGGCTCCACCCTGAAACCCCGTCCCATCTGTAACTGCGAAATGCGACAACAAAATAGATCACAAACGAAAGAAATGGAGGACAAAAAGCGTCTGGATATAGAGTTCAAATCTACGCTTATAAGGTTTTTCAAGAATTTCCTAGAAAAGATGGATAAGACCTATGAGGATATGAAAAGAGATCAACTATTATAGAATTAATAAGGAGTCATCAAGAAATGATAAGGGATCAACAAGAAATAAAGAACACATTGTCTGAAATAAAAAATATTTTACAGAGTCCTAAAAACAGAAGGGAAGATCGCAAGAATCAAGTCAAAGATTTGGAACATAAAGAGCCAGAAGACACTCCTCCACAGAAGCTAGAAGGCAAGAGAATCCAGAAAATTGAAGATAATGTAAGAAACCTCTGGGACAACTTCAAGCGAACCAACATCAGAATTATGGGGGTCCCAGAAGATGAGAGAGAGCAAGATGTCGAAAATATACTGAAAGAAATAGTGACAGAAAACTTCCCCCACCTGGTGAAAGAATTAGACTTACAAGTCCAGGAAGCGCACAGAACTCCAAACAAAAGGAATCCAAAGAGGACCACACCAAGACACATCATACTTAAAATTCCAAGAGCAAAAGACAAAGAGAGAATATTAAAAGAAGCAAGAGCAAAGAAGGTAGTTACCTATAAAGGAGCACCTATACGATTGTCAGCTGACTTCTCAACAGAAACCATGCAGGCCAGAAGGGAATGGCAAGAAATATTCAAGGTGATGAATAGTAAGAACTTACAGCCAAAGATAATCTATCCAGTAAAGCTATCACTCAGAATCGAAGGTCAGATAAAGAGCTTCACTAATAAAAAAAAAGCTAAAGGAGTTCATCAACACCAAACCAGAATTATATGAATTGCTGAAGGGGGTTCTTTCAGAAGAGAAGGTAAACAAAGATAAAAATTATGAACAACAAATACGTAACTATCAACAAGTGAATCTAAAAACCAAGGAAATTAAAAAAAAAATCTGATGAACAATAGTAACTGTTGAATATAATAGAATCAGAGGTATGGAAGGGGAGTGAACTGATGATTCTTGGGGAAAAGGGGAGAGGGGGGCATGGGAAGAGATTGAACATAAACTGTGCACCTATGGATGAGGACAATGGGGAGTGGGGAAAGGGCAGAGGGCGGGGTGGGAACCTGGTGGAGGAGAGCAATGGTGGGGGGAAAAAAAGGAACATTTGTAATAATATGAACAATAAAAACTTATTAAAAAAAAAAAGTGAAGATTAAGTAAAAATATCTGCTACCCATGACTTAATGTCATTAAGGGATTTATTAACTGGAATGGAAAAGTTATAATTCTGATTTGACCAGTAATCAATTAAAATGATGTTAGTGACTAAAAATTACATGTATTAATAGCTACAAAGTCTCTTTACCATTTTCAATAACGCCCCCATTCTTATTCTTAGCTATTTTTAGTAGAATTGTTCGTACCCACTGCAAATCAAAGTTCGAGCTAACATCAATTGACTGAGCCCAGTGGCAGTCACCTACCAACATCTGGTTTCTAATCCCCTGAGGAGAGGACTCAAGGGGGAGGCAGGGCACGAGAGCCAGAAAGGAAGAGCTGAAAGACAGAGTCCTCCTGTTCCAGCCTGTCCTACGTTCTCAGCAGAAACCCCTGATTCAAGTTCTTTCCCAAGCTCTGTTATGGCTTACGGAACCCTTTTTTGACCTGGCCTGCCATTCTCCATCTTTCTTCATCACACTCCCATAATTCAACTCCTCTCAGAGAAGACACCCTTCAGTTCCAGAATAACATCGTTTCGCTTCTAGTTTCTGGGCCTCTTACATGCTGTACCTTCTCTCCAGAAAATTCCCTACATCTTTCTGATTGATTTCTATTCAGGGAAGCAGTTCCTGTCCCACAGATGAGATTAAGACCAACTGCTTAGTGTTTTAATAATTCCCTATATTTTTTAAGTTGGGGGGGGGGGGAATTTTAGGGGGGGGTCAATGGGGGGAAAAAGGGGGATATCTGTAATACTTTAAACAATAAAGATTAAAACAACTTATCATATTCTGTGATAATTATTTTTAAACTGTCTCCCTCCCTAGGCTACACCATTGAGAAGTGGAAAATGTTTACTTATGACTGTATTTGAAGTGACTAGCCGAGTACATAGAGCCTTGTACACAGAATGCCCTCAACATGTATTCCCTAATTTAAGGAAGGAAAGAGGAAGGGAAGGTGGGAGGGAAATGGCTGAGAAAGGCTTAAGAACAGGTCAACGATAATAAAACTATAATTTTCTAAGAAAAAAAAAGTGATGCCAAAAAAAAGTACTCTAGCCAAGTCAAAGGGCATTTTCCATTTTGCTTTTCCATAAATAAGAAGTTAAAAAAAATTTAACCCAGTGGATGGAAATATTTCAACATTCAGGTCACATGTAAGCTCTGGAAACGTACTTACTTCAGTTTTTCCTCTTCACTTAGTGTCTCCCACAGTTCTTCAATTTGTCTTGTTGCTTCCTCCAAAATGGTCTTAGAATTTTCTGTGAGAAACTGACCACGACGATCTTGAACAAAAAGGGCACGTGCTGACATGGGTTTCTTGATTACACGGCTGCTAATTAAGTCATAAGCTGTAAGCTGTCCTGATTTGTTATCCACCACATTTGACTTTTTGCTACAGGAGCCTTCACTGAGATTCTTTTGTTCAGGGCTGGGGTTATTTTTCTCACTTACTTGACATGCTGAGCTTTCTTGAGGCACTAAAATCTTCACAGGTTCAATGTTTTCTCCCATGGAATTTTTGAGTGCATTTCCCCTGCTCCAGCTATCTGCAGAAATTTCCAAAGACTCCACAGGAACTGCTTCTTTCTCATTTTCCCCACTCCCAGCTACAGTGCCATTTTCTGACTGGGCGTGCTTAACAGAACCTACAAAACCAGTTTCAGTACATTCCTTCTGGGTGTCCTCACTTGATAAATTACCCATTGGGATCTCCAGAAATGTATTTTCAGTGTTATCAATGTTAGAATTTTCACTAATAAAATGGTCATTATAATGGTCACGAACGTGTACATGATTTAAACAACCATTAATGTTTTCTCCAGGTTCATCATTTTGAAAAGAAATGCTCGAAGTATCAACATTAGGACAATTACTTCCAGATGATCCCGCCTTATTAAAAAGCACATCTGTTTCTGCTTTTTTACTAACAACCATGTCAGCTGAAGAAACATCTGTTTTATTATTTTCATAAGAATTTGTACTAGGTAGTGATCCGTAACAAGTTGTCAACAGGTTTTCAAGAGCAATTAAAACAGATTCCTACAAACACAAATTAACAAATGTTAGGAGAAATTATAGAAAAAAATAGACAAGATTTAAAATATTTAAAAATATGTATAAACAAGCAAATCTCCTTTGTCACACAAAAATGGTTAGGATAGTATAAATTTGTAAATAACATACATTAAAAAATGTACCTAAAAAAGTTTACCTTATTCTGTAATAATACTTGACTTTTATCTGGTGTTAAATTTACATCCACGTTAGCTGTAGGAACATCAATTTTCAGAAAGAAAATGGGATACAAACGAGTAGATTCCTTTAGGCACTTCAGATTGTAATAACGTCGGATTAGCTACAAATATATGTAATGAATAAAAGACAAAAAACCCATATAAATAAATATTGCCATCCATAAAATAGCACCAAAAGGAGAATATTCAACTGAGTGGATGGAATTGCTTACAAGGAAAATCAGTATCTAAATAGTAACACTCATTTAGAGGCCTTTAACCTATGTGAATGAAGTACAAGCATTCATTAAGCAGTATAATACAAATATCCAATGCAACTGGCTTCATAGTTATAGATACTGGTGTTAGCTCAGCTGATGGGGCTCAGTGGTTGAGCAATGACCTATGAACCAGGGGTTATAGTTCAATTCCCAGTCAGGGCACATGCCCAGGTTGCAGGCTGATTGCCAGTATGGTGCGTGCAGGAAGCAGCCAATCAATGATTCTCTCTCATCATTGATATTTCTCTCTCTTTCTCTCTCTCTCTCCCTCCCTCCCTCCCTCCCTCTCTAAAATCAATTTATATATATATATATATATATATATATATATATATATATATATATATTCATCCAGTGTCAAAGACCAGAGTTTAAATCCAAACTCTGTTACTTCCTGGCTATAAGATCAAGAAAGTGGCTAACATTTCAATTTTTTCTCATCAAAAAGAAAAAGAAAATAATATATCACATAATTGTAAAGACTTAATCAGACATCATATGTAAGGCACCTAGAAAAATATTTAATAAATGTTATTAAATCTCTTTGTCCTTTTCCTTATCCTATATAATAAAACCCTACTACGCAAATCAACTGAATGGTGGAATGACTGGTCATGACGTGCACTGATCATCGGGGGGGCAGGTGTTCAATGTGGTGATTGGGGGGTGGGGCCGGCCATCGGCGATCCAGGGGCAGGTCCAACCAACGGGTGGCGCCAGGTCACCAGCCAGGCAGTTGCTAGCGGGGGCCCCTGATGGCCCCACAGATCAGCCAGGCCTAGGGACCCTACACTATACATTGGGAACAGTCTCTTAGATTTAAAAATTAAAACCTGGCAAGGCTACGCTAACACTGAAAAAACAGGGTGATGCAGCGGTGACTGCATGGACTCTGGCTTGCACATTTTGTGGTCAGCTCTGATTCTGACACTTGTAACTGTGACAAAGCCCATTACTTTACTTCTCTCTGCTCCAGTGTTTCCCCCCATAGATGGGGAAAACTGTACTACTGCCTCCGAAGGATCATGTTATGTACCGCTTTTTATAATCAGGGCAAAATATAGCTGCCCATACAGCAGCAAGATGCCTTTCACCTGTACGAAAAGTATGGTCACTGGTGCATGCAGCGTCCTGGACTGCGAGAGGGATGTCTGACTGCTGGCTTAGGCCTGATATCCCCGAGGGGTCCCGAATTGCGAGAGGACACAGGCCAGGCTGAGGGACTCCCCCCCCACACTCCTGTACACAAATTTCGTGCACTGAGCCTCTAGTTTCAGAATGAAGTCTTAGAAGTAACCCTTGTAACAAGTTGGCAAATGACAGGACTAGTTTTCATTTCTGATCCAAGCGGTGCTTTTTTAAAAAGAGATTACCTTTAATATGTCTTTTTGGTGTATTGGTCGACTGTTTATAAAGATGAAACTCCTTTCTGGGGTTGAAAGACTTGTGGAAGAGTGGTCTGCATCATGCTTTGGAAGAAATCCACTTAGAAAAATCTGTAATTGTAATAACAGAATTAATATGCAATGCAACAATAAGTGTGGTTCCGTGGGTCTGGCTACATCCAATACATTACAAGTTATCAAAACATAAATACATTTTCATCTTATGGCTTGATAACCATGTCTTGAGCATTAACTTTGAATAAAATATTGGAAGCATGTTAAATTGGTGTTCTCTGCTTCTAACTCTCTTTTTGCAATTCTATGTTAAGGAAAAATTGACATTCATAAAAGCTTCATGAATGGGCATATATCTTACTGCCAGAAGACATAAATACTGCTCTCTCTGCTCAACTTTAAATTCTACCTTTTAAATTTTTCTTTCCTCATATTCTGACTTTCCTTTTAGCCACCTTTTCCTATAAAGAAATGGCTGTTTCTGTATTTATTCTGAGTATGATACAAAGCCAATCTGACTGGGTTTTATTTCTCAGTTCAAAATCTCTTGCTCTTTGGATTCCAAGATGGCTGCAGGATTCATGGAAGCTACATCAACTTGCTCCCAGCCCAAACTGGATTTATAGCTAAACTATAAAGCAATCAACCTGAATAACCTGCTGAAGGCTAGTGAATAACCCGCTGAAAGATAGCAAAACTGAAATACAGTAACCAAGAATTTACAGAAGCCATGCAGAGCCTGGTAAGAAGGGCAAAGAGTCAGAAAAGGCTAGCCCCACACTCAGATGTGCTGGTGGCTGCAAAACTCCCTCTCCTAGGAGCGTGGTGATACAGGGATCCCCAACCAAGAGCAACAGACAGGAAAGGAGCCCACATAGCATCTGGTGGTGAAAGGAGTGGGAGGGAATTCAGTCCGCCTGGGAGACCAGACACCACCTTCCCAGGGAAGAGCACTCCTATTGTTACAGCAACAGCCTGGGGAGTGCAGGGTCCATGCTTCAATTTCTGCCTCCGATGGCGGGCAAGGCCACACTGCCGAACTTGGTTCTAGCGGGTCTGCTGGCTAAAGCAGTGACTTTGAGCGGCCCTCTTCTTCCTGGGGGAGGGGTGGAAGGGAGACTCAAAGCTGGGACACTCAAAGTGTTAGACTCTTGAAGGCTATTGTCTGGGACTTGGCCACCTCCTATGGGCTAGATGGGCTTGGCGAAGTTGGGCAAGATGGAGTGGGGGTGGAGGTTGAGGGGGATGGAGACACCTATAACAGTGTCAACAATAAAGTTTAAAAAAATATTTTGCTCTTTGACATTGATTACAGTGTTGTATTTTATCTTATTTTTCATTTAGAGAACTTTTTTTTTTTTTTTTACAAACAAACCAATTACTTAGTATTTTTATGCATTCTTTCTCCATTTTACAAATATAAAGAGAAGAAAATGAAGAAGGATCCTAGAAAAAATTACTAATGAGAAGAAATACTGAGAGACTTTTACCTTTAAAGATAATATAATCTTTAAGAATACATTTCAGAGCCAGACTGACATGATTTAAATCTCAGCTCCAGTACTAACTATGTCATCTTGGTCCAGTTATTTAAAATACAGGCCTATACTCTGTCTGAAACAAGCAGAACCAGAAGTGTTATTAACCTGTTAAATAAGAGCAAAGTTTCAGTTTACGGTTAGGAAAGGCAGAGAATCTGTGGGGTTGCCATTTCCAGTTGCCCAGAAACCATGAGGCTCCCTAACAACATAGCCTGTAGACCGTTGTAATGTCTCTGGCTACCGCTGAACTTGGAAATAAATGTTTAAGGAAGACACATTACCAATTTTAGAACGCTAAGTGCATTATTGTCACAGTGCCAAACTGTGTCAATCTTAAAAAGTAAATTAGTAAAGCTGGATAAGCCATTACAAAATGATACTACTTAATTAACTGCAAAACTTCACAGCACTTAGAAATGGTTGTATAATTGAACAGGTAACATGAGACCCTTCTTAAAGCACCTGCTGAGCATCGGGGATAGCCTATTTAGTCTCTAAAAGACTTACTAAGCTTGTGGATTAAAAAAAGTCTGCCCCAAATAGGTAATTACGAAGAATGAAATGGAGAAGAAATTGTTAATACTGCTAGTGTTTTCCTTTAATGCCATCTTGATCAGCCACTGAATAATTACTATTACTTCCAAAACACTGAGCTTTAAAAATAGCTTAGGATATGCTTAAGAACTAACAAACTATATTTAAGTTATATGGAAAAAGTTAAATCAGACAGCAAAGTTTTATAAAATGGTATAAGAAGTGAAAATCAAGCTAGTTCACGGAAAAATAGTATCTATACAAAACCAAATCAGTGCAACAAAATAAAAAATTAGGTAAAGGGCCCTGTTACCTGCCAGTCGTCAAACCCATCTCTCCTCCTCCACCCGATTCTGTTGAAACAGTAACTGGTCTCCTACCCCGAGTCCTTCTCCCATTTCAGTAAGCCTCTAAAACACCGTGGAGTTATGTTCCTACAGTAATACTAAGTACTCGGCTCAGGATAATGGGATAAGTCATGTAGAAATGTCCTTCTCCCCCATCCCAACTATAAACAGAAGGCACAGAGAGCTAAAATTAGTTTGTACAATAATTTCAAAAGACCGAACCATCTCTGAAGTGACAAACACAAAGATGTCATGTGTGAAAACACAGCAAGGCGTGCTGGCTGAAGTCGGGAGTCGTATGCGCTGTGGGACCAGAAACCAGCTACGTCAGCTGGGAATCACACTGTGTGTGGAAAGGACAGAGAACACGCCCAGGCACAACATGGAATTGAAACCAGCTTTTCAACTTGAATGGGTGGCTGCGATGTCCTCCCTCCCACCCAGCACCCCAAAATGCTTAAGAAGACCGTGTGTGCCTGTTTGCAAGCGTCACAGAAAGAGCACCCACAACTCCAACACAAAACTAAGGCTAGGCCCCATCAGCTAGGAAAAGGGGTCCCTAAAATCTTGGCTGGATGAAAGGCAGTGACTACTAATTCCAGCGCCTCAGTGGTATCTGCCAAACTGAGGAGGGAGAGAGAAGGAAAGAGGGGAAAATCTAAACGACAAATCTGCATTCAAGGTGATTCTGCAAATTAAAATTTCAAAGCATATAAACTAGCAGAGAATGAGAATATTCTCTCAGGAAAGTAGAAATGATAAAGCAGTATGAGGACTTTGACTTTACTATATGTACCATGTTTTTAAAAGAGTAATGGGGGGAAAATCCATTTTATAATAATCCAGGAGATAAAGAAATCAAAACGGTCAGCTGTAAGTTAAGTTTAGAAGAGAAGAGAAACATGAATAAATTCTGAATCAACTAATAAGAGTATCAACTAGAAGACAGATGTCAAAAGCCCAAAGGGAACTGGAGGAGCTCCATTAGCCAACAAAACCCCAGGGAAGCAGCGAGCAATGCTCCCACAGCAGAGGGGTGCGTGGGCCGCTGCCGATAGCTGGAGGCTCTTCCCGAGCGGATTCCTGTGCAAAGACGACGGACCTTTACCGGTAAGAGAAGAGGGATGTAAAGACTCTCTACACCCGCGTTCCCAGTGGCCAGCCAGGTCCAGTGAGGGGCACTGATGAGTAAGTTTCACAACTTACAGGTATGTGAGGAAGAAGAAAATGCAGTGAGGGGGCGACTCTAGCAGCCGGCAAACAGACTTAGGATTGCCTTTGGCCAGAAATGAGAAGGTGCTGAAGAAACTCTGATACAAAACAGCTCTCCTTACAAGCCCAGGAAGCATGCAAGGGTGATGGGTGGCTACTAACAACTAAGAGAATAGTCGTCTAGACATAAGATAGTATTTAGATTACTCTCACCAGAAACACACTCAAAAAGTTTATCAGTATGGAAACACGTTTTCCAAATTCTCCCATGCCTCAATGCAAAAATACCCACATGAAGATGCATCACAAGTTTTGGTATCTCTCATAGATTACCAATAGCCCTTATAAAATTCTATCTTGAGGAGAGACTTTTAAAAAAATTAACAGGCAAGCATAGATCTAGCAACACATCTTAATACTCATCAGAGGAAAAAATTCCCAACAGCAGCACTGGCTCATGAGATAGTCCCATCAACTCATGGAATCATCCCTGGTCAAGGTCTATGTCATCACCTTTCATACTTCAATGCGCACCTGGAGACCTGGTTAAAATTCAGACTCTGACTCAGTGTGTCTGGGATGAGGACTGAGATTCTTCGTTTCCAACAATTAGCTCCCAGGTGATGCCAATACTGCTGGCCTTCAGACCAGCCTACGGCAGTTAGACTTTCTGGAGCACAAACCACCGACATCAAGTAGGCCCTCCTGTCACACACTTCCCAAGTTACCAGTGTAGGCAATCAAGTCCCATGGAGCCACAGGAAACCTATGGGAATGTAGACAATATTCTGACCACCCCAAGTCAGCTACCATCACAGTGTTAGGTGGCATTTGGGTGTGTCGAAACTAAGTGAGTTCTGAAAAACAGGATCCATGTCAGATCATGGCCATACTCCAGGCACCGCAGCTGGCCACTAAGGCTGGCCTGCCTCCTTCCTAGGGCAGAGAGAACTCTTAAGGCATTAAGCTCCCATCCAAGACTCTACTAAAACGATAATAATTAAAAACTCAGCACTGCAAAGAGGATAAGAGGGGAACCAGTAGTAGAAATGAGGTTCCCACAAATTATAAAAAGAGGGAAGAGCAGAACACAGAAGCCAACTGTCCAGTAGAACAGAGAACCTTCAAGCTCGGCAGACACACAAGAACAACAAAAGAGCTCTTCTTAAAGGAAATGAATAAGGACAATCTTTCATAACCCAATTAAACTTAATTTAGTGCTAAAAAAGGGAGCAGAGGAGGAGACTGTGGAGGAAGAGGAGAAGGAAGGGGATGGAGGGAGACAAACTGAATTTCCACAGGCAGTGAGCTTGGCTGTAGAGGAAGCCCCAACCCCACAACTCCAGGCACAGGACGAGGATCTTCATAACTTAACACTGCAGTGGAGCCTGACAGCCACAAACACCAAGTTCCCAATCAGACTTGCTATTCTGGGGAAAAGATAGCAAAAGAATGAGAGGCTTGGAAAAAAAAGAACATGATAAGCAAAACGAAATAGACCTCTTAAGAAATAAGATTATTTAAAGAACTAATAATTAAAAAAACAAAGTTATTATCTTCAGAAAGATTCAAGATTTTATATCCATAAAACAAGAAGAGAGATGCAAATCAAAACAACAATGCGGTACCATCTCACACCAGCCAGAATGGCCAACATCAACAAATCAACAAATGACAAGTGTTGGCGAGGTTGCGGAGAAAAGGAACCCTCGTGCACTGCTGGTGGGAATGCAGACTGGTGCAACCACTGTGGAGAACAGTATGGAGTTTCCTCAAAAAACTGAAAATGGAACTCCCATTTGACCCAGTAATCCCACTCCTAGGAATATATTCTAAGAAACTGGGAACACCAATCAGAAAGGATATATGCACTCCTATGATCACAGCAGCACAATATACAATAGCTAGGATTTGGAAACAGCCGAGGTGCCCCTCAGCAGATGTCTGGATCATAAAACTATGGTACATCTACCCAATGGAATCCTATGCTACCATAAAAAAAAAGGAATTCTCACCATTTGCAGCCACCTGTATGGAATTGGAGAACATCATGCTTAATGAAATAAGCCAGTCAATGAAAGAAAAATACCACATGATCTCACTCATTTATGGATAATAAAGAAAATTATAAACTGTTGAACAAAAAGATAGATACAGAGACAGTAAAGCAACAGACTGTCAAATTACAGCGGGAAGGTTAGGGAGAGGTGGGGGAGATAAGAGATCAACTGCAGGACTTGTATGCATACATATAAGCATAACCAGTGGACACAAAACTCTGGGGGGTGAGGGCATGTACGCGAGTGGGGGAGGGCAATGGTAAGATATGTACATATATGATAACAATAAAAATGGGGGGGGGGAAACAAATAAAAAATAAAAAAATAAGTTACTAAGAAGCAACACAACTTTAAAATGCTCTTAGAAATTAAACAGAGCACTTTCAGAATAAGAAAAAAATTCAGTAGGAGGGGTAAAAGAATCAGAGATCTCCAAAAACTTACAGAAAAAAGATTTAAAATTTGAAACAAAAAAAAAGAAAAATAATAGGTCCCAATCAACAATAGGGAGCTTTCATTTAAAAAAAAAATAAAACAGAAAAAATATCAATGAAGATAACCTAGAACTGGGAGGAGGGGGAGTCTTCAGATTCAGGTTTCACATCAACAACGCAGCATATTAAGCAAATGTATAATGAAAGACACACACCTACACATATCCTCATAAACGTTACGAAGAAAGATGAAGGAAAGAGCCTAAATTTTCAGGTAGAAAAATACATTGCCTCATCCTAGAAAGAAAGAATTGAAATATATTAATTTTCCCAACAGCAACAATAGCTGGTCAAAGATATTCAATGACATCAAAGCTCTAAAGAAAAATTATTCAATCTAGAATTTTACATACACCAGAGTATTAACAAGAAAATGTGAAAAATAAAGTCACTTAGACATGAAATTTCACCTCTGTGAAAGATTCTTAAAGATGCATATCAGATAAATAAAAATAAATTCTAAAAAAAAAGAAGGCATGGGACACAAGAAATAATTGAGATAGCCAGTACTCCTATGAAAAGCAAGCCCAGGATGAGAATGCCAGAAACAATCAATCCAAATAGGAAATGACTGAGTTCTGGGAACAATCAGTGCAAAAAAAATGGAATGAAATGGGTTACCAGTAATAGCTAGAAAACGAAAAGATTTTATTGCTGACATAATAAAGTACGTTTCATCCCCTCCTCCCCTCCCTCCCCCCCAAAAAAAAGGAAAGAAAGAAAAAACTTTAGGAAAGCCCAGAAAAATAAAAATAAGATAGTCCATATAGGAGGCAAAGAAAAACATGACCAATTTCATGTAACTGATGGGGAAAGAAACAGAGATTCCATTTAGTTGGGACAATGGGAATATTCTCTCTGCCTGGCATAGAGACGTAAAATTGGATCCCTATGGAGGGAGGTATCTAGCACATCCTTGGGTTTGCAATGAAAAGAGGACTTTATTTATAGCTGTAGCACTGTATACCCATATAATTTCCAACTTTTAGAATCAATCTTCAAACAAATGGTGGAAGACTTAAGAAATGGTTATATAAGAAAATTGGTTATTAAAATTGGTAACATAAAAGCAGAGTTGATATGACAGAGGAAAGGGCAAGCAAAAATAAGACTGGGGTGTTAATAACCATATCCATTATAATAGAAACTCAAGAAACTGTCTGAGGGTGACAGATCAAGAAAAGGAAGTTAGAGTATATATTTAGAACAAGAAAGGGGGGGGGGTGTGAGTAAGTGTTAAACAACTTTTTCTTTCATAGTGGAAAGTAAATAGATGACATCCTAAATTTAAGAATTATTAAAAATTAATGTAAGTACAATCGTTAAAGGCTCCTGCCACCTCACACCGGCAATAGGGAAGTTATGCAGCGGTTTCACGGGCAGATGACTTGTGAGGACCCATCAGCGTGTACCTGGGCTTCCTCGCAGTAGTACTGAACAGGCTCCATGCTGCCCATGACGGCGGTCCCCAGGACAGACATGAGGGCCATCTTGTGATCCGATACTCTCGTTTTCTGCCAGACAACTGCCTGCGGAGAAAAGACAGGTAACTCTCAGTACTGCACTCGCTTACAGTAGCATTTAGAAGAGATGCGTGAACAGGTGGATTTAGTAGCTGTGTATGCTGCAGCATAAACTGATTTCACTTCCCTTAACCTCGGTTTCCTCCTCTCCACACAGTAACTAACAATATTTACCTCCAGAGTTGCTGGGAAATCAAAATATATAATGGAGGCAGACACATAAGGCAGTGCCTGGCCTAAAACAGTTTCATTATGTATTAATTTCCTCCCTCTTCAAACTTCAGAGTATATACTTCAGCCTATATTTAAATTACATTCTTCTTCTAAATAAAATATTATTTGATTAATGACAGACAACTATTCTATAAGGTTTCCGAAAATAGTTGAACTGGAATAATAATTTGGAATGATGCATACTTTTTAAAATTACCTTCATAATTACCTGTTATATATAGAGAACGTACAAAAAGCTTCCTAAATCTCACAAACTCAAAAAAAAGCTGAATAATGAGCTCACATTTTTTCAGTGCAAATATGTAGCCGGTGGTTTAAGAGAAACAGGGACCCAAGTCTGGCTGTGAAGACCCTGATGTGTGTGACATACTGCAATTTCTCCAGGTAACATGCGGTCCAGTTGTGGCCAAATCTCTTGAGAAACCGTCAACACAAGTCCATTCGTTCATTCAACAAACGTCCCCTTAGCCCTCCCAACTCCTGAGGAAATGTGCCAGGCCCAGGGGAAGACATGGCAGCAAGGGGCAGGGGGGGAAGGAGAGAAGACCGCAAGGTAGCCACTGGAGGCAGGAAGAGCCCAGACAGGACGGGCGCAGAACAAAGAAGCTTCTAACAAGGAAGTCCTATGTGACCAGCGAGCAAGAACAGAGATGAGGCCATCAGGAGTACAGACTGAGGATAGCAAATGGACCTGATGGGACGCGGTGGCTGAGTGCATGTGAAGGTGCAGCACAGAAGCAGCAGGAATGGCCGGAGTCCCTGGTACAAGAACACTGTCCGGTGCCCAGCAGGGCCCAATAGACACCAATCTGATGAAGGAGTGAGAAAAAGGATACGTTTTTTTCTACAGAAAAATAACTATTGGGGTTGAAAACTAGCTCTTTGTTTTGAAAGATGAAGACTGCTGGTTGCCATACCTTAAACACATTAGGAATCATGTCTTAGTAACTAAGTAGTAATTCTGCTTTAGGAAATCCAAAACTACCTTTGATTTTCTTTTTCTTTTTTTTTTTTTTTTAAATATAATAGTTTTGAGATATAATTCACACCATTACAACTCACTCATTTTATGTGTACAAGTCAATGGTTTTTAGTACATTTACAGAGCTGTGCAACTATCACCATAATCTAATTTTAGAATGATTTTATCACTCCAAAAAGAAAGCCTGTACCCTTATCAGTCACTCCCATTTCTTCTTACTAAGTAATCATGAAATTACTTTCTGTCTATAAATGTGCATAAGCTGGGTACTTCATACAATGGAACCACACAATACACAGCGTTTGTGAGCGGCCTCTTTCACTAGCACACGTTTTCAAGGTTTACCCATGAGTACTTCATTCCTTTCAATGGCTCCATTGGGTGGACATACATAGAACTGCCTTTCATCAGATGACGGACACTGGTTTCAGCTATGATGAAGCTGCTGCTAGGAGGCCTCATGTGCGAGCTTCTGTGTGCCACGCTTCATTTCCCCGGGTGTATCCCGAGGAGTGGGACTGCTAGGTAAGGCAGTCACTTTATTTTTTTAGGAACTGCCAGACTGAAACCTACGCTGCCTATGTGTTTGTGTTTGTAAACACCAAGAAGTGCTGCTTCTGCTATCAAGGTTGTTATTTTAAGCTCCCCAGTAACTTGTGCTTTAAGGGACAATATTCAAAATAACAGAAAGTAGGTCAAGTTCTGAATAATCTACAACTGTATTGCAGTGAAATGACCCCTCTGTCCCTGCTTCATATTTTCCATATCACAAGTTACTTTTAACAAAAAACAGTCTATAGCCCTAACCGGTTTGGCTCAGTGGATAGAGCATCAGCCTGCGGACTGAAGGGTCCCAGGCTCGATTCCGGTCAAGGGCATGTACTTTGGTTGTGGGCACATCCCCAGTAGGAGGTGTGCAGGAGGCAGCTGACAGATGTTTCTCTGTCATCGATGTTTCTAACTATCTCTCTCCCTTCCTTTATCCTTCTCCCTTCCTCTCTGTAAAAAATCAATAAAATATATATATTTTAAAATAGTCTATAAAAACTTATTCACCAAAAAAATTTATCTTTTCAAAGCTATGCTAGCTGACACTGACATACATATATAGAAAATATACTTAAAGTAGTAAAGGAAGTATTTCAAGAAAATTTATGGTTTAAATTCCTGCTTTAAAGCCTGAGATACTTCTAATGTACATACACATCATATTGTTTAGTTTTATTGGACTGATGCCTCAGGTGAGGCCTTAGATAGAAATCTTTGTTGATTAATAACACTGTTAGTAGTTCTGGAGCATTATTTCACAGCAGGCAATTATTGCATCAAAGGGGCTAATTTATTTATTTACTTATTTAAGATATTTTGAGTTAATTTTTTTAAAGAAATATTTTATTGATTCTTTTTTACAGAGAGGAAAGGAGAAGGATAGAAAGTCAGAAACACTGATCAGCTGCCTCCTGCACACCTCCTACTGGGGATGTGCCCACAGCTGAGGTACATGCCCTTGACTGGAATCAAACCTGGGACCCCTCAGTCTGCAGGCCTACGCTCTATCCACTGAGCCAAACCGGTTTAGGCAAAAGGGGCTAATTTAGAAGCATTTTCTAAACCAGCCTTACAGTTGGGCTAGCAATAAATGATAAAGAGGTCTCCCAACAAATTTAATTTCACTATTAGGCAAAATCCATTATAAAGAAATAAATAAAAATGATAATTAAAAATGAAGGATCTAGAAGAAACTAAGTTTTTAAATACTACATTTTCTACAGTAAATAATTTTTAGTTTGCTTTCCCTACCATTTAATTAATCCTACATTATTTTCTAAAACAGATATTCTCACTTCCTGAAGTTTTCATATATTTTGCCCTTAGGCTGAAAGCTTAACATGTGCTAAAAATAAACACACATGCCCCCATATGTTTTCTATTTAGGTCACACAAAGTTGGAGCATCTCGATGTGCCAACTAAGAATCTGACTCTAGTCAGTATGATGACAGTGCAAAAAACACCTCAATCAAGAATATATTATTACATGCACACCATGTAGTTGATATATAAATATATCTTGCCACTGTGCCTACTTAATTACATGTACTATTTGAAGGAAATAAAATGAGATCAGGATTCCCAATATTTAATTAGTACACCTCAAATGGGAAGGCACTTTGTGAATGGGGAAAGGATGCTGCAGAGATGATGCACAATTCACTAACAAAGGCAATGCCAGGAAGACTGTCTGGGCAAAGGAGACTCCTTCAGTAATATGAAATAAAAAATGTACATATTGGCCTAATTATGTGATAATTATATGCACAGATGGTCTAAGACGTTTTAACTACTTCCAAGGTCTTATAAATAGATATAACTGATCAGTATATCTACTCCTGCCTATGTATTTGTTCGACTGGTTCGGAAAAGGGCAGGGCACAGCATATCACAGGGAAGATCAGTTTCTGCCACACTGGCAATCTGACAATGATTTTAGCTACAGAAGCTTATCACTAAGACAGTGTTAAACGTTTTGATTCAGTATAAAATTATGATTATTCCATCACAACATTAATACTAGTGTTAAAGAATATCACATTCTATTAACATAGTAAGTTATTATTTGATTCTTGCTAAGTAGCCTGAGACTTTTTTAAAAAGAATTCTATTTTGGAAAAATATATTCAGCATGACTCTGAACTTAAAATCTCTTATTCATACTTTTATTCTGCTTAAAATTTTTTTATTTTATATTCAGTTTTTTTTTTTAATAGAGTACACATAATTACTTCCCCTGAAAGTTACAAAGAAATTGGTAACTTTACCTTTTTTTGGGGGGAGGGGTTGCTTAAATAGCCAAGCAGATGAGAGATAAAGATGAGAGAAGTTTTTTTACTTTACTTTTTCATTTTTATTTTATTTTTTGTTTTTTGCACCATGTAAAGGTATGGTTTATTTTAAAAAAGAAAGTACAAATTTAAAAACATAGTCAATCTTTGCATAACTTTCAAAGGGAGATGGTAGATCCTCATTATTTGTGATCTTTAAAACAAGAAAGAGTATTTCCCATTGCTCATCAAATCTTGTCAGAGCTACATGAGGAATGTTTTCTTGTCTGGACCATCTTATGTGCTCTTAGCGCACTGACCCGGCTTCTTCAATGACACTCTGCTAAACGCAACCCCGCCCACCTCCAACTGCCATGGGGATCACCTGACTTCGTCAGAATCTCCTCATTTTACTCCCTCTTAGAAATTTGCAAGAAATCCAAATTCCCATGTGAGGTAGACAAAGTCCCTTAGAACTTGGGCCCAGCAGCTCTCCGGCCTTCCCTCCGGTCCCCACACCAGTGTGAGCTTCCTCTGACCTCTGGGGACTCCCTGACCTTGCATGTCATTGAATGCCTTTGCCTGTCTTTCTCAGGAGCCCACCCTAAGGCCTTTCTGAATTGGCCGGAGCCTAATAACTGCCTCCAGATTACTGTACTTCTTAATACTGTTTACAGGAATTCTTCAGATCAGCTTCTAAACAACTCTTCAAGCTCGGAACCCTGAGGCAATCATTACATTCTCCCATATTTAATTTTGTGGAAAAGGTTATTTGCAAATCAAGCTGTTTTGCTTTACAACAATATCTGATGTCAGTTTCTCCGCTTTTTTCTTACTGAACAGGAAATCTTACCCATTACATTTTCCCCCCCATAAGACTTTGCTTCTCCACACCTGCCGTTACTTCTCCCTAACTCACTCATGAAGTCGCCCCTACCATCTCCTTTGCAATGCAACTCCATCCTCCACA